AAATCATCTCAGCCCAGCGTCCAGACACGCCATGGGAGACAAGGAGAAACAAAGCAAAGCGAACCCACGCCAGCATCCAGACACGCCATGGGAGACAAGGGGAGACGAAGGGAGACAAATCAGCCCAGCATCCGAGCATCCAGACACACCATGGGAGACAAGGGGAAGCAAAGGGAGACTTTTTTTCCAAGCAAACTACCAGCCCAAACTATCTCCGTCTGTACAAGACTCTTCCGGAAGTTCCACATGGTTGCCGCAACATAACAAACTCCCTCACAGACATTGCAGGTCTTCCGCGTGCCACCATACATGGTATGAGTATAATTCAGTATAATGCACCCTGCGGACACCACTCATCCCATCACATGGGATTTGCACCAGAACCTCCAGATCACTCAAACTTTTGTATTTGGGCAACTTTGTACCACAACGCAAACAGCACAAACCCTTGACTGAGGATTCCCACTCATGGCCTCCAACAGGATTATTTCTTAGAGACAACAGGAAAGCATCCTTGGTGCGTCTAGACTCACTTTGCTTCGGAAGTTTACAGGTACTCTGCTGACGCAACCAAAATTGCACCCGAGGCAACAACCACTTGTTTAAGCGCCAAGCTCGTCCTAAAATGAAAGCGTTAGCCTTATCCTTTCCATACGGGGCAAAGGCCACTGCTGCTTCCCCGGCAAGGGAATCTGCAGCAGCATTAGCATGCCAGGACCAAGCCGGACGACCCAAGTCAATGTGATCTTGGAGACTCATGTGTGATTTAACCTTGCACAGCTCCACAGAGCGACGATCCAACCGTCTAAGCCTCATTTTCAGATCTCCATTAGGGTTACCAACATGCTTATTGTGTGAGACCTTTTGCCAAGTAGTTTGCACATAAGACGCATCAAAGGCAACTTGGACAGGCCCATCATGCCAAGACAAGGCTTCCAATGCCCTCACCAGAGCCATAAGTTCAGCTCGAGGGACAGTATTGCAAGTTTCATCACTGTCAACTAAAGCACCAGACATGGTACCAATCGCAACAAACTCATCGCCATCCATGCGAAGAGCAACCACAGCCCACGCAGACTTCCGAAGACGAGGGTCATCACTGAAAGGACCACCCGAACCATCAGTTCCCAGGAGGATTGTGGCGCCTGATTCAACATATGGTCATGAAAAATGCCAACAGCAACCAAACCCTCATCGGCAACAGGACGGGCAATAGTCCAACGGCGGGGAACAAGCAAAGCGAGACAAAGGGAAACAAAACAAAATCATCTCAGCCCAGCATCCAGACACGCCATGAGAGACAAGGGGAAACAAAGGGCGGGAAGCATCTTGGCCCCAGGGAATTGAGGACCCCTCGCAGCAAAGCTGCTTCGTGAACAACCTACACAGGTCCCGGTCCCAAACAGCCCTGTCACGTCACGCCCTTTCGCAAACCCGCCGCCCAAAAAGCCTAGCGCCCAAACAGATCAAAACGAACCCCCCCCAAAAAAAAAAAACGAAAAGTCCGGCTCAAGGGCTCCCCGCACGCAGGCTAGCGCCCAAACAGGCCAAAAGGAAACCCTACACAGTGACAGGTGCCAATCAGCCCTGTCACGGCCTTTCGCAAACCCGCCGCCCAAAAAGCCTAGCGCCCAAACAGGTCAAAATGAAATAAGAAATCGATAAGGAGTCTAGCTCAAGGGCCTCCCGCACGCAGGCTAGCGCCATCTAGCGGCCAAACTGGTCAAAAGGAAACCCTTCCACGGCTTCTCCCCGCTCGGAGGCAAGCACCCAAACAGCTCAAAAAGCAACCTTACACACGTGCCCAAACTGCCCTGCCACGGCCTTTCGCAAAACAATCCTGGCACCCAAAACAGGTCAAAAAGAAACCCCACAGAGGTGCCCAAATAGCC